TTCTTCAGACTGATTAATGTAGTTGCCCCTTGACGGGCCTCACATTGTTTACAAGTACAGCCCACATACTCAGAAAGAGAAAAAAAATTGACTCTGCCCACTGTGGGTGCGGACACAGCCATTTTCCATTTCCATTGCACATCTGCAATTTGGATGAGATTGAAGGGCAACACAGGTTGTGGTTTGCTGAGTGAGTCATAGGTTCAACCCAGCAATGTCTTTTCCTCCTTGCATTCCCTATTGATTCCATTAGAACTGAACTTCCACACATTCCCGCCCAACTCTTTCACTTAGCTCCTCATTTCCCAATGATAACCCCTAAGTTTGGCCATACCAAGCATTGTGCTGTACTATTCCCTGTCTAAACCGGGGCAGTTGTGACCATTGATAACCCCCATCTCCTCCTGCAGTAACCCAATCAAACAGGGTCTCATATCCTTATATGTTGAGTTGCTTCTCTTCAGAATTATTGTTCTCTCTGCGTGCTGGCATGCTACCTCCAACCCTTGTAATTGATTTGATTTACTTATTGATTTGATTTATTTAGTGTCACGTGTATACTGTTACAAAACACAGTGAAAAGCATTGTATAGTGTAACCACTCCCCTACACCATCTTAAAACGCAGAAAAATAAACTAAAACATAGAAATATAAAGGCAGAAGAATGAAGAAATAAATAAAAAGTGCTCAACTTTACAGTCCGAGATAGCGAGAACTGCAGATGCTGGAGTCAGAGTGGAGTGTGGAGCTGGAGCAACCCAGCAGGTCAGGCAGCATCAGAGGAGCAGGAGAACCAACGTTTCAGGTCAGGACCCTTCTTCAGTCCTTCTTGTTAAGTGCTCTGATGTGGGCCATGGGCCTGGTGGCCAGGCATGAGTCCCCTTCGCCAAGCTGCCACTGGAACAAAAATTGTCCCGCTTCAAAACCATCTCGCCTCCACTAACGTCCTCACCACTATGTCCTTGTTGGACCTTGCCATGAGTCTGCGCTGGATGTAGATGTTGCTGGGAACCACAATTCGGCGCTGGGCCCCTTCGAGTCTGCGCTGGGCCCACTCTCTGCCACCGATGCTGTCGTGTGACTGAGCTCCTCAACAAGAGGTGAATAAAATGTGGAAAATGTTGCACACTCAATCTCTTAGGTAGAGTTAGGTTCAATCTTAATGAACGGGAGGCTGAAAACGGACTGTGCATATCAAAGAAACATGGGTGGGTTGTGAATGATTTTCTGTATATAAATAGATATAAAATTGCTTGCTACCTCCACTATTTTGGGAGTCTGCAATGCATATTGTGCTTAGTTAAAAATTTGCAATTATTCCATAATTAGACTTAATGTTCTCATCAATCTAAGAATTTGATTGTCCACAATTTGATCAATTGGAAGTGTTACCCCATGGTTGTAACATAAAAAGAAATAACTTACATTTATACAGGGATCTGCATGACTTCAGGTTGCTATAGTGAAACACTTATGAAATATAAATTCAATCAAAACCAGTTCATTTACAGAGTTAAAATCAGGCCTTATAATAAGTCACCAGAGTAGCAAACGTCAAAGTCAATTTTCACACAGGAACACCTGAATGCAAAGGAATAAAGTAACAACTGGATAATCCGTTTTAGTAACACTGGTTAAAAGACAAATATTGGTCTGGATTAAGAAGGGAGAACATCTCTTCTTAAATTTGGGTTTAGGTCTTCTCAGAGGGCTGGGCCACTGTTTGGTTTTGACTGTGCTTTCTGACACCAAGGGGCATGTGCAGTAGCAGATATCACTCATAAATATAGAAACAAATATTTACAAAAAAACAATTAATGATACAATTTAAATGAAATAGTATATTGGGTCACAGAAAAAAGCTGTTAAAGAAAGTAGAACTTTTACCTTTTTTTGAAACTAATTTATTTCATTTTAAATGAAAAATTGGCTTCATATTGTGTGCCTGCACAGTGGGAAATCACCATTGGTGCATTAGTGTCAGCAAACATTTCTATTAATATTTAATCTGAAAGACGGCACCTCTGACAGAACAGCTCCTCTTGTTTCCATTGAAATGCCAACTTAGATCATATGTTCAAGTCTCACTGTAGTGGGGCTTTAACCCACTTTTGTCTGACTGTAGGACTAGAGTATAACCAGATAGAGCCCTTGTTGTGTGTATCAATATTGTATACATATGATGCAACATTTGTTCCCCTTAAAGGAAGGTTGGCCAAAACTCCAGTTAAATTGCAGCATGATTTCCAATTGATAAACCAGTTTCTTTTACATCAATTATTGAATAGAATTGTTAAATGATAGTTAATAATGATCATTCCTTGTACCATTGAAGTGAATAAAAAGTGTCTATAACACCTTGAAGTCAAAACTCATTTAAGAGATAACTAATTTCTCAAAGTAACTGGTCAAATCTTCTCGTACTGGTTGCACAATTGTTTTTCAACCTTGTGTCACAGGATTTTTGATTGATAGAAACAGAGAAAAAGATGTCATCTAGGGCTGTACATAGGCAGAACACCTTTCTCTAATTAGATCACTGTAGGGTTTTCCACCCAAATCAACTGAAAATAGACTATTTTGATGCCCAAAAATGTTTCTTGAACGATGTGACCATTTGCTGTTAGATTCCTGACACACTCCCATTATTTAGAATCTACTATAAACTGTGAAGGTAAACAGTCTCATGGTTGTTCCATCTGATAAAGTACCTGAAAATTATTGATCACCAGGGTGAGGATGTATATAAAAATGTACACAACAATATGCAAAATTGCAGTAGTAGTAGACAAGATTTAATGTTAACTAGTGATACATAAAGACACTGAATTTTAATAAGCAAGAAATATTACAAATGGACAAAATTCTGCTTAGGTGATGAGAGTAAAATGGCAAGTGATTTGGCACTGTAGTTATTGTTGAATTAATCACATTTCAGCTCAACGACAATGCATGTTCACCAATAAATTCTTCTGCTTTCCAAAAAACTTTGTAAAATACATGAAATTGAAGAGATTGCAAGCATATGAATATTATTAATGAACAATACTAACTATTATCAGTTTATATTAATCCTTTATTTTACAGTGAGCATTGTGCTTGAATATCTTAATCAGAACTGAAATGGAATTAGCACAATTTAATTATGTGAATCATCACTCTTATGTATCTTAAGTATTAAGGCATTCAGAGATAATCGCACAACATTAATTTGGTAACATACATGCAACTCAGAATTTAGTGTTGATTGTGTTGAATCAGAGAAGGATTTTTACAAATTTATTCCATAACAAGCTTAGAAGCTGTATATCTGGAACAGTCAGCTACCTTTGTGAAGACGGAAAGATCTGATGGGAGAAGCAATTCAAGATGGATTATCACACACAAATGCACCTTTTAAATAGCTGGTTGAAAAGGACAAACTAAAGCCTAAACTGAAATAATTAGGATAACTCAATTAATTCAAAATGTTGTCAGAGCTTTCAAATGAGCAATTAGGAGATGTGAAGTTGTGATGTGCGTAACAACCAGATCAAAATAAATGTCTTGAAACTGATTGCTTCTCATTGTGAAGGAATAACAGGGGCAGCATGGAATGTAAATTAAAAGGTGGGAGAATCATACAGTAGATATAAACAACTGGGTTCAAATGAATCTCTTGAACAGTATAAAAAGTGTAGGGGCACTCTTAAGAGGGAGATCAGGAAGGCAAAGAGAGGATATGAGATAGCCATGGCAAATAAGGTTAAGGATAATCCATACAGTACATTAAGAGAAAGAGAGCAACTAGAGAGAGAATAAATCCTCTTAAAGATCAAAGAGGTTGTCTTTGTGTTGAACCTCAGGAGATGGGAGAGATATTAAATGAATATTTCACTTCAGTTTTTACTGTAGAGAAAGAAATGGAGGTTAGAGAACTCAGGGAAATAAATATTGATGTTTTGATAATAGTTCGCATTACAGAAGAGGAAGTGCTGGAGGTCTAGGAAAGTATAAAGGTAGATAAATCTTTGGGACCTGATCTAGTCTATCTCAGGACTTTGTTGGAGGTTAGGGAGGAAATTGCAGGGCCCCTTGCAGGAATATTTGCATCATCTATAAATACAGGTGAGGTGTAGAATGACTGGAGAGTGGCTAATTGTGTGCTTCTGTTTAAGAAGGGGTGTAAGTAGAAGCCTGGGGACTACAGACCTGTGAATCTGACTTCAGTGGTGGGTAAGTTGCTGAAAAGATAGGATTTATATGCATTTGGGGAGACAAGAAATGATTAGAGATGGTCAGCATGGTGTTGTATGAGGGAAATCATGTCTCACAGACTTGATTGAGTTTTTTGAACAAGTAACCAAGAAGATTGATGAGGGCAGAGCGATAAACATTGTTTACTTGGACTTTACTAAAGCTTTTGACAACATTCTGCACGGTAGACTGTTTGGTAAAATTAGATCACGTGGGATTTAGGGTTAGCTTGCCAGTTGGATACAAAATTGGGTTAATAGTGAGAGTCAAAGAGTGATGGTGGAGGGTTGTTTTTCGGACTGGAGGCCTGAGACTTGCAGTGTTCCACAGGGATTGATGCTGGGTCCATTTTTGTCATTTATATAAATGACTTAGAAGAGAATATAGAAAGCATGAGTTACCAGGATGTCACCGGCAATGGAGGGTTTGGGTTATAAGGGTGGATAGGCTGGGACTTTTTTCACTGGAGCATATGAGGTTGAGAGGTGACCTTATAGAGGTTTTTAAAATCATGAGGGGTATAGATAAGGTGAATGGCAGGTGTCTTTTCCCCAGGGTGTGTGATTTCAAGACAAGGGGGCATATTCTTAAGATGAGAGAAGAAAGATTTAAGAAAAGACATGAAGGGCAATTTTTTACACAGTGAGTGGTTCATGTATGGAGTGAATTTCCAGAGGAAGTGGTGGATATGGGTACAGTTATGACTATTAAAAGACCTTTGGATAAGAATAAGAAATGTTTGGAGGGATATGGGCCAAAAGCAGGCAGGTGGGACTAGTTTAGTTTGGGAATGTGGTTGGCATGGGCTGGTTGAACCGAAGGGTCTGTTTCCATGCTGTATGACTCTATGGCATGCCACAATCCACGTGGGTGTTCAACAGTACAACAGTGTCCTTCTGCCCAGCTTGCTGTGCAATGGTCAAAGCAGTGTTGCCATCCTGCAGGGAAACAACAGACAAAAGCATAATGTGAAACATTGGGCGTATGACAAGTATTCTTCGATGACTTTTTGTCAACGGGCATATCCCTGCCAATGTTATGTTCAAAAGTCATTTTCAGGAATGCTCCAATCAGATGCGATGAAGCCTGCATTGAACACACTCTGCATGTGAAACATCTCACTTCAAACAACAGAGTTGTGGGAAATGATGAAGTAGAGGTGAGGCTTATTCCCAAAAGAAGAATAGAAAAATAAAACTGGGGCCAGTAGTTCTGTCAGATAGCTCAATTTTAATAGCACTTTTTCATCTGGTTCATGTAAATTGACATCACCCTCCTTCCCAACAGCATTTCTTTGTGTTCCTGGCAAAGATCAAACAAACGGGACTTAATTTCAATCTGCTCATAAAGCATGTGACATAGCAAGTCTGCAAAGGGTCACAATGAGGCAGGAGGAGGAAAGGCTCCTCTGAACCCCGGGTTAAAATGATAAGTACAGTTACTATTGTATGTCACTGACAACCACCATAGAACTCCCAGAGGTGCTTGAAACAATCCCTATAATTACTTTAGACATAGTCAGTAGCAATCACAACAATGCTCCTTTGAAATAATCTTTCAGTAGCAATTAACATGTTACCAGTGATACAATAAACTATTTGTATCAAATTGATGTGCATGAACAGTAAAGACACTAAAAAAAATGAACAAAGACAGAAGTTGCTGGAAAAGCTCAGCAGGTCTGGCAGCATCTGTGAAGAAAAAAATCAGAGTTAACTGAGTTCTGAGGAAGGGTCACTGGACCCGAAACGTTCACTCTGATTTTTTTCTTTACAGGTGCTCCCAGACCTGCTGAGCTTTTCCAGCAACTTCTGTTTTTGTTCCTGATTTATAGCATCCGCAGTTCTTTCAGTTTTTATTTAGTACCTAAAAAAAAACCTCACTTCCAACCACAGACCAATCAATTTAATATATCCAAAATTAACTAGCAAATTCCAGGAAGTGAAAATAATATTTAAATATGTTGATTTTAATGACTTTTTTGTGCTCATAAAACCGAAGTTTCTAATTGAGGAGCTTCTTTTTGATTTGCGTACTCAAAATACTGGAGACTTATTATCAAGTATTTAAAAGTTTGTGTATTGAAGCAGATCAAGCTTTTTTCTACTTTATCTCAACAATGAAATTCAATCAAAACTCAGAAGAGCGCAAATTCACTTGCACCACTGCAATGATGTATAAATTCCCACAGCAACTGTTGCTGTGATCAGCTTGAAATGACCAATTTGTGTCACATTGTAAGCACTTCTGTCCTGAAGGTTTGGGATGTGATAGCTCAGTGCAACAAGTTCATGTAGGAGAGTGGGGGAACCTTGCTCCCATTAGTGTAAATGTCACTTACAGTCCCAAAAGGAAATGGGTAACATGAAATCCTCTACAAAACCTCAGTTTTGAAATTAAGCTTATCAGCTCAAATAATGATAAAAACTTAAATGTAGGACCAGAAATACTTTGATTCTATTCACACAAATATTTGGGTTATAGAAGAGGGCACATGGCCCCTACAGCAATAGGTTCTTAGAGATAAATAAAAACACTTAACTTAATCTTCATACAATATTAAGTGACATAAGCATAAGAAAAGCAACTGATTGCTGAGATCTGATTTAAATCTTAAGTTTATTTCTGTCAAGTCAGTTAGTAGTCTAATAAATGGAGGTTTTGCAGGACATCTTGGTTGTATGGAGCGTGCATTCATTTCCATGCAGGAATTGCAGCGCATTTCTTCTATTCTGGATAACCAGAATATGCACAAATGTCATCAGCTGGAGCTGCTCTAACTCTGGACTTTGAAGCTTAAGCAGCAGCTGGCTTCACTCTGGTTTATCCAGGAGGCTAACAGGTTTGTGGATAGTACATTTCTGGTTGTGGTCACTCTGCAGCTTAAGTGTTTGCAGTCAGAAAGGGAAAGAGTGTTCAGCATGGCTGCAAGAGGATGAAGCAGATAAGGCAGAAGTGTCTGTGCTGTAGCTCACTCTCCAACAGCTTGTCAGTGGTAAGAATGATAGTGAATCTGGGCGGCAAGGCCTAATGAATGACTTAGGACGCAGTGATTATTGTATCATAAAGTTTAAGTTAGTTATGGTAAAGACAGAAATTCATGCCTACAGCTACTGAGAAGCCCATCTGGTTATCTAACTGTTGAATTCCTGATGACTGATGCTTCTCCATAGAGAAGAGAATGTTGAGAGAGATTTGACAGAGGTGTTCAAAACTAAGGGCTCCTGGACCCAATATATATGGTCGTAAAGATTGGTTGGATCAAGAACTAGAGGACACTGAGTGAGGGTGATTGGCAAAACAAGCAATGACAACATGAGGAAAATGTTTTTATGCAGTAAGGTGATAAGATCAGAAATGCACAGCTTGAGATTGTGGTAGAGACAGAGACTGTCATGGCTTTCGTAAAGGAAATGGATGAATATCTGCAGAGATAAAATGTGCAGGGCTATGGGGAACGGGCAGAGGAGTGGAAGTTTTTGCAGAAAGTTAGCACCACACAAGGAGCTGAATTCTGTGATTGAAGAAAATAAAAGGCAAGTAAGAATTTGTGATTGATTAATGACAGGGTTGTGTTTTGAAAGGCAGAGAACTCTCTGGCTAAAATAATGGCTAAGAGAAGTGGGCGTCTGCATTCCACAATTTTGAGTTCCTGGAAATAAAGAGTGAGAGACAGCTCCATGTGATTTGATTTCAACATTGTGCAGGTGGAGGGAGGAGAAGAGCACAGAATAACTAATTGTTAACATAGCAAAATTTATGAGTGGCAACAAAAATAAACTTAAAGGCTAGAGGTGAGTGAAGATTCAGCAATCAAATGCCAAGCCTCTTCTTGTGTCCTGTATGAGTTTGTTGTTAGAAGTCATCCATCGTTGTACAAGATGGGATCTGTAAAGCCTGAGGGTTGTGATGTATGGAAAAAAATGCCCAGTTTCCCCTTATCGAATAAAGAAGTTTCAGTTGAGGATTTATCAAGGCTAACATAGTAAACAGATAAAAAGAAACAAAGGTGGAGCCAAAGATAAACCAAAGAAGAACCTGTTGCATTTTTATGAAGAAAATGACACTACAGACTTCGTGAATTAGCAGAATACTGCAGATGCAGAAAATCTGAAATAAAACCAGAAAATTCTGGAGAAAACTCAACAGATCTGACAGGATTCCAATGAAAAGTCATATTGTTAAAATGTTGACTCAAAATGTTAATCCTGTTTCTCCCTTACAAATGCTGCCAGATCTGCTGGATTTACCCAGCTATTTTTGTTCTTATTGTATTGTATGAACCACTGGATTGAGAGGGGTGAAAATTATACACATGGAGATAACATTAATGAATGAAGAGGGGAAAACGAGCAGCAAAAGAATGGATAAAGGATGAGTAATGAATGAAAATGGAGACAGAGGAGGGTAGGAGAAGGAAGAGAATGGAAAGGAGAACAGAGCTAAAACTAAATGACACTGTACTCACTTTATCAGTTAATGCAGTGTTACACCCAGGCTGAGCTAAAAGCAGCTTAGCCATCTCCACATTTCCATGCTCACATGCGCACATGAGTGCAGTGGATCCATCATCATCCTGGATATTTATATCAGCGCCACAAGATAGGAGAGCTGTAACCATATCGCTCCTTCCATGACTGACAGCCAGCATCAAAGCTGTCTGACCGGCCTGTTAAAGGTAATGAAACTGTCATCTTTAGATGTTAAAGCTTATCAATGGCCATTTTGGTCATGCATTTAAATGATAGTGTTGAACCAAAGCTTAAGACCTGACCGCCAAGGTCTAGCTGAAGATAATATAGTCTAAACCCTGGGGTCGTGAGTGATGGCATACAGCAGGCACCACATAGGGCTGGGAGAAATTGTCACACTGTGATAGTCTGAAAACTATATATGGCTCAACTTTGTGACGTGGATTGGTTCCGATCATCTTGAGGAGATTAGAAAGAAATTTTCAAGAATATATTTTTCTCTGAGTCTTACTCAGATATTTCTTGCCTCTCTCAGGAGATTACATACTGGTGGCGGTGATAACAGGGCTGGTGCTACTCTATGCTCATGAGGCACCAGCTGTTTTGAGTGGGGAACAGATTTGATGCAGAAGCTTGTCTTTTTGGATTATGTTTGGATTCTCGTATCTTTGTCACTTGACATGAAAGCCGAATCATGGATCCAGAAAGAATTCTCTTCTCCCCACAATAGTTGGCAGCAGTTCTTAGTCTTTCATTTACTGTAAGCCCTTGTTAGTTCGGCTGACCAGAAGTTGGGGCCAAATGTTCCTCTGGGTTCAGGAAATCCTGACCTAGTTTGCAGCTCACAAACTGCACACTTGGTCTGGGTGTGACCTCACACACCACTTTTGTCTTTCCACATAGGATCGAGTTCACAATGCAGTGGTCAAGGGTCATTGCTCTGAACCACAGCAGCCCAAATGGAAAAAGTGTTCCCAGATGCTGTCACATTGGGAATTCCAAGATTTTGCCCAACGATGTGAAGGAGCATCAAAATAAACGCGGTACTTAGCAGTGAATTTGAAGGTGATAGTGTTGCTTTATTGCCGTACCTAATTGGTTTTAATATTCTTAAGTTCTTGTAGTTGCACCCATCTAGCCAAGTGATGTGTGATCTACCAAACTCCTAATGTAGCTAAATGGCTACTGGAGAGGAATTCAACATGTTACTCAATTTGGGAAGTCCAATGTGAGCCATTTGCTGCAGAATGACCAAAAGTCAATGCATTTGAACCTGAAGGGCATTCTACTCATTTATTCTTTTAAAGTTTCAATATTTAATGTATACATGCACTTAAGTTTCCTCTCAAAACATATCACAGTTTCCCACATAATTAATCCATAAACCAAATCCCTTCAACCTCTCAAATCCATTCTACTCTTCTGTACCCTTTCTACAACTGCCCTAACATTTTGTATTGTGCTGATCAGACTTGAAATATAGTATTCCAAAGGTGGTTGCATCAATAATTTACAAAGTCGTAGGAGTGTTTCACTATTTAGCTCAACTGACTTTTTAAATACATCCCAACATGTTGTTTGCTTTATGTCTGCCATCAAAGTTTCTGTCATAGAGTCAATATATTACATTAACTGAATACAGCATTCTAAAGTATTCTTTCTGACTTTGAAAAATGAACAAGGAATATAACTGGAGTCAGTGATGTGGATGATGTATAAAGATTAGTCCACCCCGATCAGTACCTGAGTAGCTTGGACGTTGACATTTCCCAAATGCAGAAGCTTCCTGACCACTGCCAACTCTTCAGCTGTTTCAGCAAAAGCTAGTGAAGCTAACATGGTTGCAGTGTATCCTGCCTTGTTCTGATGGTCCACATTACATACACCTAATCAGTAATAATAAGCCTTGTTAGAAGACAAAGACATGCAAAGAGCAAGCAAAGCAAATCCCTCTTCAATGCTTCTATCACCATCTTTATAGAATTCAAATGAGGAGTTAATTAAATTTTGTTGTCTTAGGCTTGAAGGTGGGGAAGTGCATTACGTGGAAACTGTAACATAAAAAGCAGAAGCTATCTGGTCTCTTTTCTGCTTTTACTGAACTAATGAGAACGACTGCCCTGGTTCTTGGGAGTTGATAAAAACAAGTCAATCAGCCCGTTGTTCAACACAATCCAATAAATTTTGCTGGTATATGTTCACATGTGGTTTCGGATTAAAACAGGAACAAATGAAAAAAAACGCCCTGTTGATGTGCCAGCCCCTGTATAAAGAATAAATGCTCAGAGCAGAGTGCTTGGTTTGTAGCGTACATCAACACCTTTGAGAAGGTGAGAAGTCATTTGGAAATGGAAAAAAAGCCCCTTGATATTTTGCGTAACTTCTTCCTCTCTTATTGACAAGAAGAGTGCCCAGGGTAGATTTTAAACTGGGCTGCCCAGAAGAAAAATGGACGGAGGGCTCAAAAATGGTTTAATGGGCCTCTCAGCAGCAGTGCTCCAACTGCCACTATCTTCAAAGAGGCCTTAAACAAATTGTGGTCAAATGACATGCATAGGACATAAATGGCCACTTTGATGGAAAAGGTAAATTGTCTTACACTCTCTACCCTTCTATCAGGTGGAATAATAAAGGAGACACCAAAAAGATTTTGTATGAAGTTGTTTTGGTGCAGTCATGAGAAGAAGGAATGCTAAACTTCACCAGAATAATATGGGCAGTCACCATACCTTCCTCCCTGCCCTTCATCAATAACAATGGTATATAGTTGCTGCCTGCAGTTGGCAGAAGTAGGATATGAGACTGAGACTTCAAACTGCACCAGTCTCCCATCATCAGGATGAGGTAACCAGCTGGCATATTCTGCCACTTGGTGGTTGATACTTGAAGTCTGACCCCACAAGATCACACTGTCCCCACCCCTCCACCTCCCACACCCACACGTAGCAATCAGAAATAACTATCTGTTCCATTGACCATACAAGTAAACTGAACACAGGCTCACAAGATAAGGGGCAGTTCATTCCTGTGTCACTGTAGCAAAAGTTTCATTTAATTGTGTGTAGTGTAGCAAAACCTGTCCTGGACATCAAACAACCTTTGATTCAAACCCTGCAATGTCTACCATTAGGGAACACCATGACTTCCTCCTCTTCTACAACATGGAAAATGCTCAGATCCATGCATAGCTTTGAGTTTCAAGGAAATGGAAAACTGATAGGTTAGGTATCCACCTCCTTTTCATTGCTCTGAGATTTCTCAGGCCTCCCTACTCAGTTGAAAAGTAGCCAGAAGACTTGGAGGGCCAGGAAAACTGTGCATCCCCACTATTGCAGACACAGCACATTTGTGATATGTTGCATCTGCCAGAAGTCAAGCAGGGGTCACAGAGTAAATTAGAGTTTGTGCTCAGCAGCAGATCTCTACAATCCGTTTTCATAGCTCAACTTTTCAGGTCTTTTTTTTTGTTCCTCAAAGACTGAATCTTGTCCGGGTGCAGTTCCATAGGCTCAGGCAGTCCTTTTGTGCCCTGTTTAAGTGACCAGTCTACAAGTCTGAATCTAAATACAGTTAACCTACTGTGGGCATATCACAGCCTGATCATATCTCATCCATGCTGACTTTCAAACATACAAGTGTTTATTGGAAAATGACCAAAAGTGGGAGCACATTTCTAGACCAAAGGCATTGAGATCATGACAACATAGGGACAGCAGCAGACCATTCACCTCCTTAAGTCCATTCTGTCATTCAACTAGATCATGATTTGCTTCTTAACTAAACTTATCCCGCAAGGTTCTGGAACCCTTTATATCCTTTTATCTAACAATAGCCCATCTGAATAGTTTGATTTGCATGACTTAGTAACCTGATATCTGTGCAGTCATCCATTGCTGCATCAGGGGAAACTTTTTATTTTGTTACTCTGTAAATAAATGATCTAAGTTTCAGCTCTCGATAAAATAAGTTTTAAATACCCGTGTCCAGTAAGAGTCTCACAATAGGGAAGTTGGAGTGGGAGACACTGTAATGGAGTGCAGTGTTCTGATTTTCATCGGCCAAATTCACAACAACGTGAAGGAGATCTGGTGACATCTCTTGGAGTTCTAGAAGAAATTCTTGAACAGTCTCAGAAGCTGCGGATTTCTGACTGGAAATCCTGAACCATTCCCGCTGAACCGTGTTTAAATTCTGCCTCTGCAGAAACAAAGCAGCGATGAAAACATTAACGCTTTGACAGGAACCTTTATTTTCTTTACTATAAGGCATTGAGGATTTTTGTTAAACTATAATCGTTTATTTTTCCCAAATTTCTTCCCTTTTAAAGGAACCGAAGAAGATGTCTCCATCCAGAACTTCTCCTGAGCTTTGTGTTTCAGTGGTATCACTCTGACTTCCAAGTTATAAGGTTGTAGCTTCAAGTCAAACTGCAGTAACTTGAATGTATAATGTAAGCTAACATTTAAGTGCATAACTGAGGGAGTAGCCAGCTTTTGACTTCAACTTAAACCAAGCTCCTGTCTGTCCACTAAAGTGCTACAAGTGATTCCACGACAACAGTTTAAGAACGACAAGGGAATTCTTCCTTTGATCAACACTTATTCATAAATCAGAATAAATAAACAGGCTGTTTATCACACTGTTCCTTGTGGGAATGTATTTTGTATAAATTAGGCATCAACCTATCTATATTACAAATGACTGAACTTTAAAAATATGTCATTGGCTTGAAAGGTGCTGGGTAAGTGTAAGATCTTCCCATTAGTATTTGGGATGGGGACAGTGCTGCAGGGCCAGATATATCGTTAATCCTTAATTTCCCAGTGAAGGTGGTGGTGTGGTAGATGCCTCAGACCACATTCAGGTCTGGATTTTCCACATCTCAAGAAGTGTATTTGGAGACAAGGGACTGGGAAAACAGGGACAAGTGATGCCTGTTTGGCTCCCAATACTTCCCAATCACAGTGGAAACTTTCCAAGCAGGCAAACCAATGCAGAGTATAAAGGCACCGCAAAAGAACCCTTTTCCAAATGGGATGGCAGTTTCCCTATATTGAAGGACAGCTACTTGGAGCAGATCTCCCAGCAGCAGGGGAAGTTGGTCAGCTAAGCCACAGGTGCCATGTCCCAGTGAAGGAGCCTTTAGGATGAAAGGCCACAACAGTAGCCAAAACTAATCCTGTGGGAAATTGTCCCTCTACACCATGGGCCTGTGTGTGGGTCCCTCACATTTGCACAAGAGGTCCATGAGCATCTCCTTGTTGAGATGCTGTCACGATCACCATTCTGCATCAGAAGCACTTCCCCACCCAGTGGAACAGCTAGTTCTCTTGTGTTTGCAGGCACATCCCCTCCCATTACATCTGCTGGTTCTCCTGTGTTTGCAGGCACTGCCCCTCCCAGTGGAACTGCTGGTTGTCCTGTGTTTGCAGGCACGCCCCCTCCCAGTGGAACTGCTGGTCATCCTGTGTTTGCAAGGCCCTCTGACTGAGCTTCCCTCCTTGGGGTCCACCTACATTCTTATTTGAAAGGTACATGCAGAGGTCGCTGCTTCCAAGAAAGTTGCATTGGTGATGCCCTGGCAAACTATGTGGGCTTAGAAACTCCATCCTATTTCAATACCCTCAGAAAACTCAACATTCAGAGTGAATCAAACTGTGTAAGATTAGAGTTATGTATGTGCCAGATGAGGAGCTGCAGCAAGTTGCTTTCCTTGAATGACATCGTGGAACTAGATGATTTTTTAACCACAGTCCAGCAATTTGCTTTTTGTTCTGGTGCTAACACAAAAATTGTCAGGTTTATTGAATTACATTTAGTAACTTACTATGCTGTAGCATTTAAAGGCCCATTCACTGGTTGCTAGGCCAAAACCACAAGCACTACACGAACAAACACACAGCTGATCAGAACAAAAATTAAATAATTCAATATTTGGGGGACAATTTGCTTGTTGCTAAACTCACTCAAATTATACACCTTCTTTTTTGGGATGACTGAGTAGTGATCAGGAATAATGAACGTTTCTTTCTCCTCTTCAACTTCAGGAACTGATGGCATTCAAGGCCCTTCAGGGATCAGTGCGCAGGCCCCAGAACTCAGTGGTCAGAGAATTAACCTTTTACCTTCTTAGTCTGTATGGTTGAGTACCACACGGCCAATGATCCTTTGATCCATTAAGGCAGTCCTGCTGAAAAACCTACTGACACTGACGCTCAATAGTTGACCAAAAAAATTACGCTTAAAACTCTCTAAGTACACAATTGGTTCTAGCGTTTGAAGTTAAAACAGGAGAAAGTACCATACCAAGTCTTTATCATTTGTGACCTCCAATTCATTGAGGTGATCCTTCAGTTTAAGACAAGCAGAGATGAGGCCCAACTTCAAATCGTACCTGCAAGAAATAGAAGCTAAGTTATAGCAATTATACAAGACTAGGCTCAGTATCCAACAATGTAGATTTGGTGTGTTAGTCAATAATTGGATGGACCCAGTGGTTATGCCTATTCTATTACATACTAGGTAACATCCAGGTTGGGATGTGTTGGACACAGCCTAGAAGGGTGTCATTCTTCTTGGAAACCTTTCTGTAATGACAATTATTTCATTCAGCAGGGGTCCAGGCAGGAGATTCTTTCATATTAAATCACATTATAGAATGTACAAATAAAAACACAACTTTTATGAATTACAGTTCTGAGTCAGATTAGATAAAACCATAAGAAATAGGAACAGGAGTAGGCTAATCAGCCCTTCAAGTCTGCTCCACCACTCAATAGGTTGATCTAACACTCCTTATGTCCACTTTCCTGCTTGATACCCCAACTGATCTCTCTACCTAGCCTTAAATATACACAAGGATTCTGCTCCCACAGCTCTCTGTGTCAAAGAGTTCCAAAGATTCACAACCCTCTGAGAGAAGAAATTCCTCCTCATTTCAGTCTTTATTGGTGCCCCTTTATTCTGAGATGAAGGCATCCTTTCCTAGACTCTCCCATGATGAGGAAATATCCTCTCAGCATTTACCCTGTCAAGCCTCTTCAGAATCCTATATGTCTCAATGAGATCACCTCTCTTTCTTCTAAATTCCAATGAGTAGAGTCCCAAACTTTTTAATCTTTGACTTCATGTCACTCATGATTCCCTTGTTCAACAAACGAAGATAAACCAAACGAGCACTGTGAAAGTCCCAGTTTCCAGGTGATGTTCCATGTGTTTGAATTCATCACTGGCCCTCTCTCACGCCAGCAGTTTATCACTGCTGCCATTCATAGATAGCTCTTCTCACAAAGTTAATAACTGATGTAACGTACAACTTGAAATCACTTACTGCCTCAATGCTAGATGTTTTCTAAGCAACCCATTCAGAGACAGCAATACACACCTCTAGAGTGGGTGGCACTTGAATCAATGCCTCCTGGCTCGGAGGTAAGGACACTACCATTGCACCCACAAGAGCTCCTGGCTCATTGCTAAAGTTGAATTTGTAATTAGGAACAGTTGGCTGTTTCAAGCAGCAATCATCTTCAGAAACAGGCACAATTACAATTACCACTTCCTATATTTTTTTAATTTCCATGGGTTCAGAAATGCTGAGTTACTCAGTTAAAACTAAACTGGGAAAGAGTAAGAGAGAGATCTGGTGAAGTTTCCAAGGAGTCATATAAGGACCATAAAATTTACTATTCATCCCATTAGTGTTCTGGACATTAGGTATTCAGACATGAACCCATGTTGGCCAATATCAGATTATGGAGTATGTAATTCAAGCAAATAAACAAGAGCAACCACTTGAAATCTGAACCAGATATTTATTCTTCACAGTTGCCCTCGAGTGTTTCTCCAATCTTTAAATAGACAGGCTGGAAACACATTAATAAAATAAGATCCGTGTGAATTGTTGGACCATTTTATTTTGTTGAGAGCAAGCATGCATACAGAGTAAGTGTTCTTTAAAAAACCTTATTTCCTCCACTAAGCGGATTGGATTCTATGGCATGTTTTCAGCAATGGAGGCACATGAGATATAACGTGAGTAGCTAGCCCACATCCTTCTCATCTACTTTAAAATTGTCAGGATCCCGCCTTGTAAAGGAAAAACAAATGGCAATTGAGATTTTTAACATTTGGGTCAATGAGCTTGTTACGCTGCCCACACCATTATAGAGTTGGGAGTGAATGGGCTGTTTACCTAACCAAACTGGCTAAAAGGCAGGAAGGAAGATGGGTTACATCCTTCAGGAGATGCCCTGTGTGCATGTTATACTGACTCCTGTTTATTGCTGCCAAACCTTGGCATTCACCTGGGTCCAGACACCATGGCTGGGATGTAACTGTAGTCCTAGCAGTGCTCACTATGGACTTCTGGCACTGTGGAGACTGCAGGAGCTACTACCAGATTTTCTGGCACTATCTACGGTGGAAATGGGCCAGATGTTCTAATCTCAATTACCTAACGGCCCACAGTGTGTAATTTCAGCAGGTTATTGTATGACATGTCTCAGCTGACATTTCTTCTGTCGGGACAAGCAGTGTGTTCCCTGTACAAATCAACCCGGTGTTTACTTTTCTTCTCAAAAGTAAATAATGAAGACCATGCCTTGTTCATGTTTGTGGGTTGCTTTTCATCTTTTCAGGATTTCAATACACACCCTTTTTCTAGCTAACTTATAGCTGTCTAAGTTGACCATCTGCATCCAGCTTCCAGGTTCTATCCCTGGCCTCTGAGTTTAAAACCTGACTCGTTCCATTTGCCTCTATCCTTTATCTCATCATCTCTCCAGCAAGCAGGAGAGATTTTACCCTGTCTTCTTCCTCATCCAGTTTGGCTGAGGATGCTAAATGTCTTGATAATGATTCCCTGGATGTCCCAGGAGGACCAAAAGAAGTGTATCTCCTGCTGTCCCATCTATTAATTCTACTCTCTTGCTTTTGATTGCAACAAGTGACATACCTTTTACTGCAGTGTTGCATAACATCGACATCAGCATTTGTTCTTGTCGACTGAGTTTTGCCATGCTCTGCTCCCTCTGTATCCTTGGACATCTCTGCTTTGTTGCTCATGGGTTGGGTTTCATTTCCTGTATTGACACAATCCTTTTCCGTGTCACTGTCTGCACTTTCTGATGAATTGGAATCTTCACTCGATGTGCTCTCATAGCTAAAATGCAATACTTGTTAAAAGGTCTGGTGGAAATATCCATCACTTAAACATAAAACAAAAATTGTACACATCACAGAGCTCATATGACTGTGACATTTCATTTGATGCTCACCCGCCATTTACACCAATAAACTGAAGGTTTTTTTTGGCTGGGAGAACTCTCGATTTGACATTTCCATCTTTCTTTTTCATAATAGATTTAAGATTTGAAGATTGGAACAGTGCTAAAGAAAGAGAGAGAAATGCATCTGGTTACATTTTATGATCATATTGAGAATTTGTTTTAGTCTCAAAGAGGAACATTTGACCTGCAACACTGATATATTTCCTGTTGGAGATTAGTTTTGAAATCCATTGTTTCAGAATATGACTGCAATGGTTCCACATGGTACACGTTTTCAATCTCTCCACAGCCAGCAATTGCAAACCAGTTCAGGGAGTAAACAAGTTGGTCAAAAGATTTTCAATCGAGCAGCATGAGTTCACATATTTCTTAATTTCACACAAAATTGTAGCAAGCGACGTGCACAGTTCTGTGTTCTACTCTCCGCTACCATTCTTCATTCCTCCTCCATTCTCCTCTAGCCCTCATCTTACTTTTTTAGACCCAACCAAACTTGTGATGTGGTGAAGCAGAGACTCTGGCAATGGTTAACTAATTAGAAAATAGGAGAGAGGAAAGACAAATAGGGGATTTGAGAAGTGGGCAGCACGGCTTTTTATGAAGAGGTCTGGTGAAGCTCAATGGTCTGCTTCCATTCTGTAATATCAAGTAATTCTATGTATTCGAGTAGAGATTTGAATCCTATTTGCAGTGGTGGAAGATTACTGTGGTAACTGATGTGTGATACTGTACCACAGACGTAAACAGCTTATAACCCTTCCATTTTCCAAAGTTATTTTGACATCTTAGTAAATGATAAGAACATTGGTTTTAACTAAGTAAAACAAATGCATGATGAAAATAATTTTTGCCAGAACATAAATTACCCATTTTTCATCCCAGGCCTTGCAAAGATTCCATTGTGGTTAATATTTCCCAAACAGCTGCATAGTTTCACCTGAGATAACACAGTGTGGAGCTGGAGAAACACAGCAGGCCAGGCAGCATCAGAGGAGCAGGAAAGTTGACGTTTCGGGTCGGGACCCTTCTTCAGAAATGGGGGTGGGGGGAAGGGTGTTCAGAAATAGAGAGAGGTGGGGTGGGGCTGGGAAAGGTAGGTGGGATGGTGGGTGAGTGCAGGTAGGCAGTGGTGGGGATTGGTCAATGAGGTGGGAGGAGCAAATAGGTGGGAGAGAAGATGGACAGGTTGTGTCAAGTCAACGAGGTGGGGATGAGGCTGGAGGTGGGGAGATTTTGAAACGAGTAAAGTCCACATTGAGACCATTGGGCTGTAGGCTCCCAAGGCGGAATATGAGGTGCTGCTCCTTCAGTTTCCAGGTGGCGTCGTTGTGACACTGGAGGAGGCCCAGGATGGACATGTCACCCAGGGAGTGGGAGGGGGAATTTAAATGGTTCGTGACTGGAAGGTGTGGTCATTTGTTGTGAACAGAGCGCAGGTGCTCTACAAAGTGGTCTCTGAGCCTCTGCTTGGTCTCACCAATGTAGAGGAGGCCAGAGGTTTGTTTGGTGCCTTGGATGGAGGTGAGCGGGAAGGTGTAAGGGCAGGTGTAGCACTTCCTGTGGTTGCAGGGAAAGCTGTCAGGGCTGGTGGGGTTAGTGGGGAGTGTGGAGCAGACAAGGGATTCGTGGAGAGAGTGGTCCCTAAGAAAGGCTAATAGTGGTGGGGAGGGAAATATACCTTTGGTTGTGGGGTCGGATTGTAGGTGGCGGAAGTGGCAGAGAATGATACGTTGGATACAGAGGTTGGTGGGGTCTGCAGTTCTTACTATCTCTGCATAGTTTCACCTTGCTGTTTGCGGGTACAGTTGCAAGGACAAGTGATGAGGGGGGATCTAATTGAAACTTACAGAATACTGAACGGCCTGGACAGAGTGGATGTTGGGAAGATATTTCCATTGGTGTGAGAAACTAGGATCTGAGGACACAGCCTTAGAGTAAAGGGAAGGAATCTTTAGAACAGAGATAAGGAGAAACATCTTCAGCCAAAGAGTGGTGAATCTATAGAATTCATTGCCTCAGAAGGCTGTGGAGGCCAGGTCATTGAGTATATTTACGACAGAGATAGATAGGTTCTTGATTGTCAAGGGGATCAAGGGTTACAGGCAGAAAGCAGGAGAATGGATTAAGAAACGTATCAGTCATGATTGAATGGCAGAGCAGACCAGATGGGCTGAATGGCCTAATTTCTGTTCCTATGTCTTATGGTCTTATGATAACTTGCAAACAACATAGTATCTTCAGCGGTGACTCCTTTTGGCAGGTAGCCCATACTTTTAGTCAATTCTAAGCCAGATCTTTGCCCAATTAACCATTTATCATACTCCAGGCTGTTACATTTATACAACAGAAACAATAATTAACAAAACACTGTTCAATTGAAGGGCAATGTTATGATGCTGAACATCCACAGGCATCACTAAGTACCTGAGAATGTTGGGGAGCAACAATGTGAGAGTAAGAAATATTTTCTGTAAACTGAATCTACACTTCAATTAGAGCTCAAACTCGACAAAATTGCAGAACATGTGTTGAATAGAAGGTAAATTATTTGAAAATGTGTGTATTTTAGGCTGAATCTTACAGAGCTCTGAATGATATGGGATATGGCGTGAAATCTGACAGAATTGTGCAAGAAATCCAGTGAAGCCATTCTCAATGGCAGGAGGAACTTGTCACATTTTGTAATTAAGTTTTGGATGTTGGGACAAGATTCTCGCAATGGAGCAGTGAGTTGCCTAATGAAGGGGATTACTGCTTGTTAACGACCTTATTAACTGCATATCACATCTCATTTATATGCAGCTTTCTATTTTACCATCTGGCACTATCAAACTAGAAATCACACGACACCAGGCTATAGTCCAAAAGGTTTATTTGAAATCACAAGCTTTTGGAGCACTGCTCCTTCGTCAGGTCACCTCATGGCACATCTCCAATGCACTTCAGTATTCTTCTGCATTTCAATGATATACCTTGGGCTGTCCTGGCAATGATCATTGCAATGGTGCAGCAAGGGCACTGTGCCCTCAGCTCCACACAGCTGATGGATCGGACCAGGCTGCAACTCCAGGCTACTCTCTTGCTTAATCACTTTCATCCTAACTGGATGCTCTCAGCATTCCTACCTTGCCTTGTCTTTAAGTTAGTTATTAGAATGACAATACTGCTGCATTGCTGTGACATTTATAGCCAGGAAACACATCATGGTTGTCAGCCGTCCTCAGTTTCCCAATTGTTTCTCAGTCTAGGGAGACCACCATCAATCAGAGGGTTGGCACAGGAGGTCAAGGGCAGCCTCCAATACCAGTCTGGGACTCGGACACAGTCAGTCAACCTTTCAGGGTGGTCAGAGTCTGGACCCTCTCCTGATATGGGTGAGGGACCGAATGTCAGGCAGCCCACCATCTATTTTGACTTTTCCTGCTTTTTACTGTGGCCTATTTTCCTCCCATAATGAGAGGGAGGAGAGTCTAAGGGAGACAAATGTGGGTGGTACACCTATTGCTATTGGTGCAGGTGGGGAGCTGTAGGTACCGCAGAGGTCATGCAGGGTGGTGCGGTGGTTGAGAGTGAGTGAGGAAAGATGTTGCAGATCATAATGACAGTGATAGACCATGTGCCTTGGTGGGAATTGTGTGCAATAGCAGGGATAGAGTGAGTGTTAGGTATCAGAGAGAGTGCCACTTATGTTGGTGGAGTGGAGAAATGGATACCCACCACATTTAAACTTCACCACCAACATTATACCTAAAGAATGCCACCCTAGTCCCCTACACTCCCCCTATGGATGCAAATGAGTGGTCCCTTCTATAAATTCCCTCTGATGCTGTTCTATCTACCCACCGTGCACCTGGAGATGCCCTCCCCACCCCATCACCATCCTTGTCCTCACCTCTACATATGTCTTGGCTCTGCCCCCTCCCTCCAGAGAGTAAAGTTCCAACCAGTTCAGCTTTTGCTCAGAGCACGGTACCTCTATACAAGGGATCATCCTAGTGAAACTTCTCTCAACTGCCTCCAATGAAATGCTATCTTTCCTTAAATAAGGGAATCAAAATTGCTCACAGTACTCCAGATGTGGTCTCACCAGCACCTTGTGCAGTTGTAGTCAGAAGAGGCTGGAAGGGCTTAATTTCTTACATCTTAATGCATTATACTACTTTTGACAATTGGGAAACTATTAGCATGCGTAACAACAATTACATATAAAAGTCAAATTAACTTTGCAGAGCGTATTCCTGTGATGAAATTCTGGATCAAAAACACATCTCCTTTATAATAAAGTAGCTGCCAGTCTCATTTGAAAGTGTCAAAACATTTTAAATTTACCTTTCAGAATGTTCCTGAATCTTCAATAGGCTTCCCCCAGTGGTCACAAACTTTCCAAGGAGGTTTACTTTTTTTAAGGATTAAGAAAGCCACACTAGCAGATAAAAATAATGTGCAGGAAGAAATGTATTTTTCCTGTGGTCCTTACAATTGTGACCCCGACCTCAGATTATACTTGATTGACTTTTTTTGGTTAAACGTATCTTTCTTTTGTATGTTTTACTGACTGACGAGTCACAGATGTTTATTGAAAGGTACAAATCATACAAAACTGACAAATCTGTAATGTAACTGCAAAGATAAACCAGGGGGCAGCACGGTGGCTCAGTGATTAGCACTGCTGTCTCACAGGGACCCGGTTCGATTCCAGTCTCGGGTAACTGTGCGGAGTTTGCACATTCTCCCTGCATCTGCTTGGGTTTCCTCCCACTGTCTAAAGATGTGCAGGTTAGGTGGATTGGCCATGCTAAATTACCCCATAGTGTCCATGGCTGTGTAGGTTATGTTGATTAACTGTGGCAAATGTGGGGCTACAGGGAGGATGGGGTCGGGGTCTGGGTCTGGATCTGGGTGGGGATGCTCTTCAGATTATTCAATGGGCCAAATGGCCTCTTTTCACACTGTAGGGATTCTAGGGTAAATGCAGCTAACAGTTAGTTTAATTCAGGTCGTGCATATCCCAACCAAATAACATGTGAACCCTTTAATGTTTGAATATTCCCCGCTATTAGTTAACTGCAATTCCAGATAAAAATTCTTTTCATTTTATTTGACTGACAGTAATTTATTCACTCATAAAATTTTGAATGCACATTTGCAACATTTTTGGCAGCTTTTTTTCTGCCAACTTTCCTTTTTGCTCAGATGTTAGGGATGGGCAATTACTCTCAGCTTTCCCTGAGCTGTGAGAGCCAAAACAAAACCCAACTGTGATTGGTAAGCAGTGATTTTTGTTAAATAAAATGTCTGTGAGTGGCAAGCATAATGAGGATCAGGTTCAACTCTAATGCTTCTCCTGGTCAAATAACCTAGTAGTGTTCAGCAGCTGGGCAAATGTGCCAAAAATAGGCAGTTGACATATGGGACTACTGCAGCAAATATCCCATGAACCTAGATCACCTTAAAGAAAGAAAAACAGTGAATAGGAATAGTAAAGAATCATTTTCTTAAACAGTTGCTTCTGTGGAATATCTAAATAATAAGTGTAACATTAAATATAAGTGGACTCACTCATTTCACATTCCTTTTGCTGAGAGCTCCCTCCTGATTGGTTAAGTGCAGCATTTGATGAGGACAATGGTTGAAAAGAGTTCATTAGTTGACTGCTGAGAGATCCAATACTGGAACAAAGTTTCTTAAAGTTCACTGCCAACTCAGGATAATTCTGCTCCAAAAAAGATTGCTGTTTGCACAAAAGTTCCTCAATCTTTTTAATACACTGCTCTGTTTCAGGGTTTGTTGAAATTAACTCAGATTCAGGTTGCAGGAATGGATCCAAAGTCACTTCCTGGGATTCTGAATGTTGACAATTTAATTCTTTCTCATATTCACTGCGTTGGCTGTCTGCAATAGTTGAACATTCTTTTTCATTCTCTATCATACCATAACTGCTATTAGTAGACCCTGTTTGATTGCTGCTTAGATTGTCGGAGTCGCTCTTTATCTTGTCACCTCTAACTTCAGTCTGTTTTACTTCTTCATTCCCTCTGTGAGACACACTAATTATATCATGGATGCAATGCAATGATGGTGCATGCTCAGTCTCGACAGCTTTGCTGTACACCCTGACTGTAGCATCCGTTGCTTTGTCACTTGTTTCAACTGTTGCCATAATTTTTGCATGACTGACATTGATACAATCTGTGTTGACTCCAAAACTTCGTGTCTCTTTTAATGTTGTGATTGTTACATTTACAGTACAATCTCCACAGCCTACTGACCTAGTGAATGGGTGGAGGTCAATTCTGTTTATGTATTTTCCCTTTGCTTCACTCGGCTTTGGTTCAGTAGCCTCAACATCGCTTCGTTGACTAAGGGTCACATCGATTTCAGATTTGTCTTGTTCACCCGTCTTTTCCAAATGCATAGACTGGTCTCCTTGTGGTGTCTCTGGGTAAAGGCTAACCCTAATGTCATCAAGCATAGCACCTTGGGGGTCAGGCTTTTCTTCTTGGGTTCTGGCTTCAAACTGTTTCCCCAGTATGGAGGCAGTGGTTCTTAGTTCTTTAATGGCAAGTTTCTTTGGGTGTGCCCCTAGTGCCAAATGCAACTCCTCTTCAGTAACCTGAGTACCCACATCTCTCATTCTGTGCTCAACACCTCCTACAGCAGAAAAGTTCTGAAATAATTCATTGTGAGGAATAGGGTCAAAGTTCTTATTTTCACTTACTGCAAAATTTGAAGAAAATTTATTTCGGTAATTCAGGTCAGAAATTCTTTCGTGCTCCAAATTGTCATTTGGCATAAATAATTCAGATGTTGGACTTTTGATTAAACATAACACTTGCCCTTTGGAGCCTATTGTTGTTGTTGCTGAATGACCTTGACTTTTTTTATTGACACGCTCCGTTTTGTTGATATTGCTGTTCTCTTTTACCTGTAACTCATAACTCATATTCTGCACATTGCTCTGTTGATTTTTTATTTGAATATTAAGCTGTTTGTTCTTTTCCTGCAATATAAGTATCTGTTTTTTAAGTTCGGAAATGTTTTTTACTTGCTCTTCCACCTTTTTTGATTTATCTTGGGAAACCTTAACTTGCTGCTGTATCTGAGAGAGCTGTGTTGGTGTCAGCTTTGACCGTGATTTTGCTTCAGTAGTGGTGGAGTTCTCCCGGACAACTACATCACCCGATGTACTGAGGACATCACTATCCAAACACTTTAATTTCTGCTGGAATGAGGAAAGGTTTCGATGTTGTTCTTCCAAACTCAGTTCTTTGAAATCAATGGGCATGCTGGCTGCCCGAAGGAAAGGAGGTCTCACCCAATGTAGAAATTTCTCATTCCTTGTCGACCTTCCCCTGGTGTCAGATATTGTTTTTACAGATCTGTAATCATGTTTGTTGCATTCTGATAATACTGGGTCAACACTACATGGGGAACGTATGAATAATTTTTGAATACCGGTCATTTTACATCCATTAGTAGGTTCCCAGGAAGGAGGTGCCAACCACTTCTTCCCTTGTTTTCTGCAGGAAAGGGATTCAGCTGAGGGAAACTGTGTATCAGGCACGCTGAAATTTCTTGGCAATGTATTACATTTTTGTTGTTTGGCTTTCTTGTGTATTTTAACCTTCCTGATGGTATTTCCTTTCTCTATGTCATCCACATACTTCAGAAAGTCTAGGTCCAGGTGGAAACCATAAGGGGTTTCCACAGAATATGGGGATTCATTCTTTCCGTCTGCACTGGTGCACATGTCAGACAACTTGATGTTGCCTTCAAAACATTAAGAAAATTACTATTAAACGACAAGATTTGCAGTTCACAAAGCATCCATGTAAATCCAGCTCAGTAATTGTGTAATCCTAATACAGGATCTGTCATAAGACACTGATAAAGATTTAACTTAATTTGTATCCTCCTTTACATGTTTACATTTGCTGTTTTTAGAAGCCCAATAAAGTGAATTACACATATGAGTTATATTTATTAAAACCTCTACTTAATTAACAAGATTCAAATAACTTCAAAAATACATAATTACCTTTGTTGAGAGCCGATATGAGATGGAAATTGGCATTCAAATTTTTTCAAGTTGTCAATTTTTGCTCAAAGGGTAAGTCTATCATTCAAAGCATGGGAGGGAAAGCAGAACCAATCCCAATCTTGTTTAATTACTTCAGGCTTAGATCATCAGAAAACAATCAGTAACAGAAAGCTGCTGGAGTTACATTTCTTTACCTCATCAATATCAACTATTAACTCAGTGCAGAGAGTGAATATGCCCAGGAATATTAATCATGAAATAAACAAAAGCTAAAAAACACATTGAGACATCTCTATCAATCTGCCCCATCATACAACTGTACTCTACATGTCTAAATGATCTCAGCCTATGCCCTGCTTGGACATACCAGAATCTGAACTTCCATTGTGGTTCTACCAACTCTGCACAATAACGGTATCAGGATGTATTTATACCATTTCTCCAGGGATTTGTCTTCCTTCCACGGAACTTGTTGAAGGAAAAGTGTGTTAATGACAGGCATCAGGTAGTAAATACAGTTGAGAACTAAGTTGAGCACAGAAGGTACAGAAGGGAGTTGAAATAGTAAGAATGAGTAGCAGGGAGGGTTCTTGCAAAAAGACCAACAACTCCTAAAGTCTTCTATAAACACCTCAATAGCAAAGGGTGATAAAAAGAGCAGGGTCAATTAGGGACCAAAAAGACAATTTACACTTAGAGACAAGAGGCATGAATGAATTGCTAAATTATTAAATTTGTTATTGTTAAATTATTGTCTTTGCCTATGAGGCAGATACTGCCACGGTCACATTGATAGTGAGGGTCTAATAACATCTCTGAACAGGTGGATTAGAAAATATTTTAAAATTAATCAGGAGATGTATTGGATAAGCTGTTGGTATTTGAAATCAGATGAGATGTATGCACAGTTACAGAAGGAAGTGAAAGTGAAAATTGCAGGGACACTAGCAATTATCTTTAAGCTTCTCTGGATTTTGTGTCGGTGCCAGATGACTGGAGAATTGCAAACATTACTCCTTTGTTTTAAAATGATAGTGCAGATAGGCCCAGAAATTGAAGCTCAGTCAGTTTAACTGCAGTGGTGGGGAAACTTCTAGAAACAATTATTTGGGATAGAATTAATCGTCACACGGAAAAATTTGGATTGGTTTGGTAGAGTCAGCATGGATTAGTTAAGGGGAATTATGTCTTAATAAGTTGAAGATTTTTTGAAGATGCAACAGAGAGGGTTGATGAAGGTAAGGTTGTTGATTGTGGGTAAAAGGTATTCGATATAGTCACGTACAATGAAAATTATAGGGCACAGAATAAAACGCATAGTAGCAAAGAGGATACAAAATTTGCTGAAAGATGGGAAATAGAGAGTAATGGTTAATGAATGTTTTGGGCTAAAAGAGGTTGGTAGTGTGGTTCCCCAGGGGTCAGTACTGAACCTTTACTTTTCCTGATACTGTATATAATAATGATCTGGACTTTAGTGTGCAGGGGGTAATGTCAAAGTTTGTGGATGACATAAAATTTGGGAGAATTGTAAACTGTGAGGGGAACAGTGTAGAATTTCAAAAGGACATTGATACATTAGTACAGTGAGCGGATCGGAGGCAGACAAAGTTCAATATGGAGAAGAGTTAGGTGATGCACTTTCACACAAAGAAGATGAAGAGACAGTATAAAATAAAAGGTATTATTCTAAAGGAGCAGTGAAACCTCAATGGATATGTTTATAAAACATTAAAGGTAGTGGGACAATTAGAAAGAATTGTTATTAAAGCACACAGTATTCTACTTTTCATAAGTAGGAGTGTAGAGGAAGAGCAGGAAGGTTAGGCTGGACTTCCATAGGACACTGGTTAGACTTCAGCTGGTTTATTCTGTACAGTTCTGGGCACCACACTTTAGGATGGATATGAATGCGTTGAGAAAGTGAAGTAGAGGTTTAATAGAAGAATAAAGGTTTATTAGAAAATAATTCCAGAAATGAGATACTTCAGATATGTGGGAGGATTGAAGAAGTTGGGCCTGTTTTCCTTGAAGGCAGGTTAGAAGTTTTCAACATCACTAGGTATCTGGACAGAGTGGATAGATAGGGAGAAACTACTTCCACTTACAAATGGATTGAGAGCCAGAAGGCACAGTTTCAAAGTGTTTTGCACAAGAAGCAAATACAAGGCGAGAACAAGCTTCTCCACGCAAAGTGTAGTTAGATCTGGAACGCACTGCTTGGGAGGTGGTGGAGGCAGGTTTAATTGGAGCATTCAAGATAGCAATTTAATTACTTTTATTGAAATAAGATGCACAGTTACAGGGAAAAGACTTAAGTTAGAATGCTCAGAGAGCCAGCACAGGGGTGAACTGAATAACCTCCTGCACAATAATCATTCTGTGATTGAGACAATCCCAACACAAACTCTTCCTCCAGTCAATCGGCGATTTCATTTTTGAAGGAGATAACCAAGATAGCATGAACTGTTTCTGCAAAGCGTTGTGCACTCCCTCAGGTCTATTTCTATTCAAAGTTTAGTTAATGTTGATTCTCTGTGATGTGCATGTGGACTCTCAGTCTAAGTCATCTGACAAGTTTACACCCATAGTATCTGTATTCTCAGCAATTTAAACGGAAGATCATAAGCTGTTAAATTGTCTAGCAGTTTCTAAGATCTAAGAGTATCAAGGTCCCATATCTGCCTGTGCTGAGTTAACAAATCGTACTGGACAATAGCTATAATCAGTATCACTGGGTTAGGTTGGGGCAGCTGGCAGGGAAGAGACAAAATTCAGAGGATTTCTATTCCTAAATACTAACTAATAATGGAAACCAGATTAATACCCGGAGAGGGTAGGATCTATATATCTCCGTAAGTTCACATTCGGTTTATGCAGGTACTTAGAGGAGACATTAACGTTCATATTTCCTCCCCTGTCAACTGCATCAGGAGGAGAAGAAAAATAAAGAGATCTGTGCCAAAATAAAAGATCTGTACAACACAACTGGTGCAATTACCCACTCAGAGGGCAATGCCCTTGAAGTTGGTTTCATTAGTAACTAACATTCCTACCTGGACGAAGTGTGGATTGAAGAACCTGTGACATTCTGTCCCCTTTGTTAGTAAACCAAAGCACGATAAGTCAAATTGACTCAGCTACAAACAAAGGTGGAAAAATAACATTAAATTTTTTAAAGTAAATTTTAAATGTTTAGCTTAAACAAACATTGCTCAATATTTTGTGTACCATCAGTAACAGTACACATTGCTGATTCACCACATATGTTGTAATTTGCTACGACTTTGTACTACATGGGGCTAGAGGTACAAAGTCCATTAGTAGCTGTACTGATGAAGCAGTCAGTATACAAAATCAGAAACTTGAGATTTATTGACAAATTACGGCAGTCATTTAAAAACAAACTATGCCAATTTTTTAAAAATTGGCATGAGCAAATTGTCATGGTCGTGCTTCTATTCAGAGTTCCAATTTCAACACAGTTTGAGATAGTGATGCATGATGTAATTGTCTGAGGGTAGCCAAAGCGAGACGATAAGGAGAAACTCAGTGATGGGGAAACTATTGGATGCAATGCTGAGGGCCAAAATTAATCTGCACTCAGAGAGGTACGGATTAATCACAGCGAGCAATGTTTTGTTAATGGTCATGTTTGGCAATTTGATTGGATTTTTTGAAGAGGTGTCCAGGTGTGTAGATGCGTCATGCATTTGATGTAGTCTACGTGGACTTTAGCAAGGCTTCTGATAAGGTCCCACATGGGAGACTGACAGCGAGGGTAAGAGCACATGAGCTCCAAGGAAACTCAACTAATTGGATACAGAATTGACTGAGTGTCAGGAAGCAGAGCGTGATATCAAGGGGTGTTTTTGCAACTGGAAGCCTGCGCCCAGAGGGCTTCCACAGAGATCAGTGTTTAGGGGTCTTGCTGTTGTGGTATCAATAAATGATTTAGACTTGAATGTAGGAGGGTTGATCAGTAAGTTCACGAATGATACGAAAATTGATGGAGTCGTAAATGGTGTGGAGGATGGGTTTCAATTACAGGAGGATATAGACAGGCTGGTCAGATATGCTGATCAGTGGCAAATAGAATGCAATCTGAATAATTGTGAGATGATGTATTTGGGCAGGACAAACAAGGCAAAGGTATACATGATGAAAGGGGGAAACTTGGGAAGTACTGAGGATCAGAGGGATCTTGGTGTGCATGTCTACTTGTTCCCTTAAGTTATGAGGACAGGTGAAGAAGTGGTTAAGAAGGCATGATGGGATATTTGTCTTTATTTGTTGAGATGTAAATTTGAAAAGCAGGGAGGTTATGCTGAAACTGTATAAATGTTGGTTAGGCCACAGCTAGAATATTGTGTATAGTTCAGGAGTCCACATTATAGGAGGGATGTGGTAGCGCTGGACAGGGTGCACAGGAGACTTTCCAGGATGAAAACCAAAAGAACTGCAGATGCTGTAAATCAGGAACAAAAACAGAATTTGCTGGAAAAGCTCAGCAGGTCTGGCAGCATCTGTGAAGAAAAAATCAGAGTTAACATTTTGGATCCAGTGACCCTTCCTCAGAACCAGTTCTGAGGAAAGGGTCACCGGACCCGAAATGTTAACTCTGAGTTTTTTTCTTCACAGATGCTGTCAGACCTGCTGAGACTTTCCAGGATGTTGCTTGGGCTGAAGAGTATTAGATATGAAGGGAGATTGGATAGACTGGGGTTGTTTTCCTCAGAGCAGAGGAGATTGAGAGGGGACATGGTTGAGATGTACAAAATCATCAGGGGCAGAGACAGGATAGATAGGAAGAAATTTTCTACTTGGAACAGGGATGAATAACCATGGGATATAGATTTAAGCTAAGAGGAAGGAGATTTAGAAGGGATATGAGAGGATGGAGAGAATCTGGAACTCACTGCCTATAAAGTTAGTAGAGGGAGAAACCCTCATAGTATTTAAGAAGTATTTAGATGTGCCCTTGTGCTGCCAAGACAATCAATGTTATGAGCCAAGTGCTGGAAAATGGGATGAGAATAGTGGTTGCTTTTGATTAGCACAGACTTGATGGGTTGAAGAGCCTTTTCTGTGCTGTAGACTTCTATGAGCGTGATTCAATGACTAAATAAAATCTTGTTTTGCACAACATCAAGTGAAATCCCTTCCTCCCAATGTGCTCTGCCTGAAGGCATCAGAAATCTAGGTACTATACTTTGAAATTTGCATGTAGAGCATTAACTATTTGAAAATGTAGGGGCAGTATCATATAATTTGTCTTGCTTTGGATTTGTTGAGCATTATTGCTGTGTGGTGACAACTTAAACCATTTCTAATTATTCAAGGAAGTGCTTGAAATACACGGGGACAGTGGGAATATTTGTCCCCAAAAGACCTTAATGTGTCTGGGAAAGATAAATCACATGTATGACCAATGGCAGAAACATTGCCCCTGTACACAGGAGTGACAGAGTCTGGAAGGAGCTGTTCCTCCAATCAGCAATCCTTTCTCTCTGCAGCCCCTCCAATCACAGGTTCCCTATCTCATGTCCTGGCCATTCCCTAAGAGACAGAATCTATGATTAGTGGAACAATCATGGCAGGAGGGAAGGGATCTGTGATTAGTGGAGCAGTTTTGGCTGGTCCTACAGCATGAAGGAAGGTTTAATGGGGAGGTGATGGCCTAGTGGTATTATTGCTAGACTCATAATGTGGGGACCCAGGTAATATTCTGGGGACCTGGGTTCAAATCCTGCTCATGGCAGATGGTGGGATTTGATTTCAATAAAAATCTGGAATTAAAAGTCCAATGGTAACTCTGAAACCATTGTCAATTATTGGAAAAAACAATTTAGTTCGGTAGTACTCTTTAGGGAAGGAAACTGCCATCATTACCTGGTCTGGCTGACATGTGACTCCAGACCCACAGCAATGTGGTTGAATCTCAACTACCCTCTGGGCAATTAAGGGTGGGTAGCAAATGCTGGTGACAGCCTTTTCATCCCCACTGTATGCTTACAATTTTCATCACGATGGGAGAAAACAGTAGCTGTACTTCATGCAGTGAGTCACACGCTCAGCCTCAGTCTGCATGACCCCCAAATCTTCATATTCCCTTCCTGGCCATCATCAGCTTTGATCTTACCCACCTTTCCAACTAATCTAACACATTAACTATTCATCCCCCCCCCACCCCTTATCCCCTGAGCCCAGGTATATGGAGTTATCATATTCAACACAGTAGTGGTGCTCACATGGAATCTAGCCTGGTGCTGACTGTTAATAATCCCCATGCCCCACATTACCTTTTGCTGTACTATGCTCAACTATCTCCTCCACCTTATGTGCTGAGTTGCCCCCTTCACAATTGCAAACTCCTCTCCAGCTCAGCATGATGCCTCCCAGAATTGAATTCTCTAACTTCCCTCCCATGGTAATAGTCCCATAAATCCCTCTTGACTTTTAGCAGACAGACCCCAGGACTGATCATGACCCACCTCCATGACTAACTAAGATGGCCAGCCCTCACTGATGAGTGACCAGGCCCCTGACCTTTCTCCCTGGACTGGTTATGCTGGTCTGAAAGGGATGACTGTTACTCACTTCCTGGACTTTATGGATACAAACCCCAGGCCCTGGATGCCCCAACTGGGCAACCTTCCATGCCCTGGATGGAAATTGGAGGTTGCCCCTGACTAACTGTATCAGGACCCTCTAACCAAAGGTGTGTGCCTTGAATTGACTCTTGGACTTTGAAACATGGCGATCTGGTTAATAAATGTAAGGTATGTTTACCATGTACAGTGCTGCCACATGGTGCAGCTGTGAGATTGATGGATCACGGTGCAGCCCAGCAAGATGTCCTCAACCGCCCCCCGGCCTTGACTGATCACTGCTGACAACCATCACTAACTGTCTGACTTTGTTTCTCTAATAAAGGCAAATCAAGACAGAGGCACTTTGAGCCATTGAGCTCTGGCTGAGGAGACAAAGTACATAAAGGCAAACTGAGGCAGAGAGGTGGTGAGCATCAAAACAGGCACAAAGTGAATATAGTGCTAGTGGTGCAAGTGAGGAGGCCTGAGACACAGGCTCGTTCAATCCTTAAGCTGGGTATATGTCCCTGCTGCAAACTGTTCTGGCAGCAGCATTCCAAATATGCTAGTGTACTCCGAAGTGCAACACTACAATGCATAACCGTTGTATTATTAGATCGGAGATGGGTCAAGAGGGTGCAACAAGACTGGCATGTGTCTGATGCTAATATTTATGGATACAATTGTGTGTGCTCGCACAAGTGTGTGCATGTGTGTGAGTACGCGAGTGTGTGTGCACGTGTGTGTGCGTGCGAGTGTGTGTGTGAGACGCATGTGTGCAGGCGAGTATGTGCGGGCGAGTGTGTGCGCGCAAGTGTGTGTGTGCACGTGTGTGTGTCTGTGTGTGCGAGTGTGTGTCTGTATTTGCGTGTATAGGTGTGCATGTGTGTGTGCGAGTGTGTGTGTATGTGCGAATGTGCATGTGTGTGTGCATGAATATGTGTGTGTGTGTGTGTGTGTGTGTGTGCATGTATATGTGAGTGTGCGTGTGTGCGCATGCATGTGAGTGTGTGTGTGCATTTGTGTGTGGATGTGTGTCTGTGTGTGTGTTTGTGTGTGTCTGGTTGCTGAGATGATGGTGCCTGGTATCCCAGAGTAGAGACTGGAGGACCAAATGGTAATCTGGGGTCACTCGATATCTGCTCTGGCTCTCTGGTCAGAAATCATCACCATCTACTTTCTATCCAGCAGGTGGGAGATTAGGAAACAGCATACAACTGAGTCTAGTTTAGCTAATAATCACAGGCTAATGCATGCAAATAGGCGTCTTGCTGCTCACCAGTGAGACTCCCATCTCTCTGTACAACACTCTGCTGGAGAATTTGATGTTTTGCTCCTGACTTTGGGAATCTCTTTACTGACGATATTCCCCCTTTTTTCCCAACTTCTTGCTGATTGCCACATCATTCAGTGGTTGGGAAGTTTTTGCTCTTTGTTTCTGCCTCACAGAGGCTGCTGGACCTGCTGAGCATTTCTAGCACTTTCTGTTTTCATCGCAGATCTCCAGCATACATAACATGTGGCTGTTATCCAGAAACTGTTGCCTG